ACTGCTAGGTTGGCAGAAGCTAGTGCTGACAGCGGAAGCTCACTCAGCTCCCCGGAATCGAACCTGCGACCTTTCAATCAACAAGCTCAGCAGCTCAGTGCTTTAACCCACTGCGCCACCGCAAAAAATAGGACTAATGTATAACAGGGCCCAAAATAAATGTTGGAAGTGTGAATCTCAGGTCGGCACCTTCTTCCATGCATGGTGGTCATGCCCAAAAGTCAAAACATTCTGGAAATCAATTCAAGAAGCAAGTGAAAAGATTGTCAAAACAAAATCCAGCTGAAACCAGAATATTTCCTTTTAAAAATAACGGATGAGGACTTGGTTTTAGATTTGAACAGGGATATTGTATTTACCTATATTACCATGGCCGCTAGAATGGTACATGCAAAAAGATGGAAACAAAAAGAAATTGCGTCAAAAGAAGAATGGTTAATCAAATTAAAAGAAATTAGAGATATAGACAAGTTGACATTTGCATTGAAAGAGTCACATGGTAGACCTTTAAAGAAAACTGACTGGAAACCCTTTGAGGAGTACTTGATCGAATTAGAAAAAGAAGAAAGAGTTGTAAAACACAATGTAACATGATATTGGTAACAAAAGACATTTAAAGACAGGAAAAACAACAAAGAAAGAGGAGATAAAGACAGAAGAAAACACCAAAATTTGGTAACGACGGAGAAGGAGATTTAGAAGTCATCTACCCCAAACCCATTCACTTCCCTTTCCTGTACCCCCACTCATCCAACCTCCTCTCTCTCTCTCTCTTTTAATCCTTTCCTCTCCTTTTCCCCCTTTTCTTTCCCTCTTTACTATTCATCTCACCCCCTTTCACACCCCTTTCCATCTTCTTCCCTTTTCCTATTTTCAAACCCAACATTTTTGTATGTAAGTTTGCTGTAAAATCAATAAAAATTTATATAAAAAAAACAATTGGAAAAAATGGAATTGAGATATAACAACAAGGGTGAAGGCACATAAAATGATTATACTGCCCAAATTTTTATACTTATTTCAATGCCTCCCATGTAGCATTCCACCTAAAAGAATAAAGAAATGGGATAACTCAATTAAAACATGGGCAGTAGGTTCTAGTAAAACCAGAATTGCAAATTCAATATTTTTTACTCCACAAGTAAATGGAGGCTGGGGAGAATTACTTGCCTCCAGAATTATTATGAAGCCTGTCAACTGGCTAGGTTACTAGAATTAGATATTGGAGAGCCCAAAAGATGGGTTAGGATAGAGAAATTAACAAACGGGTGGGAATATGGATCTTGCATTATGGGGAAAATTGGGGGGAAAGACCTAAAAAAACATAAAAGGAGGCACTTTGTTATCAACAATGACCTGTTGCAGAAAATGGCAAAACAAACTCCCACTAAATAAAATAGACAAGCTCCCAATAGGTTCCATAGACAACAGAAAACCCCAGTCATATCGCAATATGCTAAAGAAACCGGAACAGAACGGAATAACAAAGATTGAGGACTTACTGAAACCAGATGGGACTGTAATTCAATGGGAGGAAATAAAAGATAAATGCGGGCTCGGAAATTGGTTACAATGGGGAGGGCTGTCTAAAAAGCGAACAGAATTGAAGACTAAGGAAACCTCGGAAACAAATCTCGACAAAATAATTAAATGGAAAGTTGAGAAGGAGAAAGGAATTGTGGGATTTATATACAAAATAATCACAGAAATACAATATAACACAAAATCTACCCTAATAGAAGCCTGGAAGGAGGAATTAAGTTGCATCGAGAGAGAAATAGGCAATTGGATGAATTCAATCAATAAAATAAAACAGCTTTTCCAACTAGGGATGATGGGACATGCAGGCAAACACACCAGGAAATCTCTAATCCCCCATCTGCCTGGCCACTATTATTATTAGTAGTATTATTATTAGTATTAATAGTATTATTGAATAAGTAATCCAATATAGGCAGAGGGCACCAAGTCCCTAGTTGGAAAAGCAGGGCACTAATAATAATAATAATAATAATAATAATAATAATGTGTTTACAGCAAAGACAGTCTTTGCTGTAAACACATTATTATTATTATTATTATTATTAGTGCCCTGCTTTTCCAACTAGGGATGATGGGACATGCAGGCAAACACACTGGGAAATCTCTAATCCCCCACCAGCCTGGCCACTTTTATTATTAGTAGTATTATTACTATTATTATTAGTATTAATAGTATTATTAGCATTATTGAATAAGCCATTCAATATAGGCAGAGGGCACCAAGTTGCCTGTCTTTGCTGTAAACACATTATTATTACTTTTATTATTATTACCCTGCTTTTCCAACTAGGGATGATGGGGCATGCAGGCAAACACACCAGGAAATCTCTAATCCCACACCAGCCTGACCACTATTATTATTAGTAGTATTATTAGTATTATTATTAGTATTAATAGTATTATTAGCATTATTGAATAAGCCATTCAATATAGGCAGAGGGCACCAAGTTGCCTGTCTTTGCTGTAAACACATTATTATTACTTTTATTATTATTACCCTGCTTTTCCAACTAGGGATGATGGGGCATGCAGGCAAACACACCAGGAAATCTCTAATCCCACACCAGCCTGACCACTATTATTATTAGTAGTATTATTAGTATTATTATTAGTATTAATAGTATTATTAGCATTATTGAATAAGCCATTCAATATAGGCAGAGGGCACCAAGTTGCCTGTCTTTGCTGTAAACAAATTATTATTAGTAGTAGTAGTACCCTGCTTTTCCAACTAGGGATGATGGGGCATGCAGGCAAACATACCAGGAAATCGGTAATCCAGCCTGGCCACTATTATTAGTAGTAGTATTATAAGTATTACTACTATTAATAGTATTATTAGTATTATTGAAGAAGTCATCCAATATAGGCAAAGGGCACTAGGTTGCCTGTCTTTGCTGTAAACATTATTATTATTATTATTATTATTATTATTATTATTATTATTATTATTAGTTTTATTATTAGTACCCTGCTTTTCCAGACAATTAATTAATTAAAATAAATAAATTATTATTATTATTATTATTGACACAAAAGCACAGTATGTCACAGCAAATGAGATCTATATGCTGGATTTTGTATCAATATAATAAAATATCTAAAGATTAAAGAAATGCAATGGAAAATACTGACAAAATGGTACAGAACTCCCGTGCAATTGGCGCTTATTACGAAAACGTGCCCAAAATTATGTTGGCACAACTGCGAAAAAATAGGAACACACACCAACATGTGCTGGGAATAAGAAAAAAATCAAAAAGTTCCATGAAATAATCAGGAAGGAAATGGAGGAGCTATTAGGAATAAATATAGAATGGAACAAGATTCGATTTTTCACACAGAAATTGGAAAGCAAAGGGGAATATCAAGAAAGTGAGGAAATAATAAAACACATAATAGAGGCAATCAAAGCCTCAGTGACCCTGGGCTGGAAGGACCACACGAAATGAGATATAAAAACTTGGTATAAATATCTAGCCGATTACCTTCTCCAAGATTATATTAGCAAAAGGAAAAGTTACTATACGATGGGTCAAAGCAGAAGGACAAATGGAAGGGTCTCATTTACAGAATAAAGGGGAAAGATAAATATACGGTGTTCAATAAGACTATTCTCATGATTGAACAATTGTAATAATACAATTGTAATGTTCTCATGATTGAAACAATTGCACCGGGATTGTGGCGCAGCTGGCTGAGTGTCGGCTGCATTAAGATCACTCTGACCAAAAGGAATATAAAGACTGTAAATAAAGAAATAAATAATAAACACAGAAAAAGTACTTAACTGGGGGTGGGGGGTCCACAGCAGACCCTCTGCTGGCTGTTGTATTGGATCACACGTCGGACACTTCCCAAGTGCCTAGGACTGTGTGATGTAGTGGCGAATAATGGGTGCAGATCCCAGTAAGGTGGCCTTCTGCAGCTGGCAGCTGGTAATTTTGTCAGTGCCGATTGTGTTTAAGTGCAGGCCAAGGTCTTTAGGCACTGCACCCAGTGTGCCGATCACCACTGGGACCACTTTGACTGGCTTGTGCCAGAGTCTTTGCAGTTCGATCTTTAAATCCTCATAGTGTGTCAGCTTTTCCAGTTGTTTCTCTTCAATCCTGCTGTCACCTGGGATTGCAACATCCACAATCCATACTTTGTTTTTCAACACAATTGTGAGGTCAGGAGTATTGTGCTCTGTCTGAATTCGGAAGTCCCGGATTTATTATTATTATTATTATTATTATTATTATTATTATTATTAGAATCATAGAATCATAGAATCAAAGAGTTGGAAGAGACCTCATGGGCCATCCAGTCCAACCCCCTGCCAAGAAGCAGGAATATTGCATTCAAATCACCCCTGACAGATGGCCATCCAGCCTCTGTTTAAGAGATTCCAAAGAAGGAGCCTCCACCACACTCCGGGGCAGAGAGTTCCACTGCTGAACGGCTCTCACAGTCAGGAAGTTCTTCCTCATGTTCAGATGGAATCTCCTCTCTTGTAGTTTGAAGCCATTGTTCCGCGTCCAGTCTCCAAGGAAGCAGAAAACAAGCTTGCTCCCTCCTCCCTGTGACTTCCTCTCACATATTTATACATGGCTATCATATCCCTTCTCAGCCTTCTCTTCTTCAGGCTAAACATGCCCAGCTCCTTAAGCCGCTCCTCATAGGGCTTGTTCTCCAGACCTTTTATCATTTTAGTCGCTCTCCTCTGGACACATTCCAGCTTGTCAATATCTCTCTTGAATTGTGGTGCCCAATATTATTATTATTATTATCATCATCATCATCATCATCATCATTATTATTATTATTAATGCAGGATCCCACAAGCCAACTAACCCAGGCATCGCCGGGTACCCAAGCTATTAAATAGTGAGCATCAAACATAAGACTCGAGGAGGGTGCATTCCCTGGCGTGGCCACTAGAGGCCGGGCTAGAGCTGCACGCCTCCAACCTGTAGCAGCACCTTTCGCGGCGGGCAGTGGTCGCCTGGCACGCGGTGGGCATTGCCAGGAGAAGCAGACTGGCGATCGGAGCAGCCGAGAGTCCAAGTCCTTCGTCGGGGCTCTTGAGAAGACATCCCTCTTCAAAGCGGGAGCCCTGCTGACCGGGAGAAGAGGCTGCTTTGCAGTGCCAGCCTCCGGAGAGGACGATTCCTGTGCCCTCGGTGCCCTGCCTTCGAGGATCAGTTTGGAAGAAGGAGAGCCCCCAGGCTCTGCTTGCCCGCTTGGCAAGCTCGCTGGCACGGTTGCTCACCCCGATTGGCACCGGCATGTCCAAGAAGACGGCGCTGCACTTCCGCGTGGTGGAGGGAAGGCACCTGCCCGCCAAAGACGTGTGAGTTGTCTTCCCCGCACTAGACAGAACCCCATAGAGGTGGAAGGGGACCCCAAAGATCATCCAGTCCAACCCCCTCCTGCCATAGAGAAATACCCAACCAAGCCCTCCCGGCAGGTGGCCGTCCAGCCTCTGCTTCAGCACCTCCAGAGGAACAGTATTAAAATAAGCAGTGATTATTAGTATTAGTAATATTAGTAATAATAATAATAATAATAAATTTTATTGAGTAGCTCTTAGGGTATATCACTATACCAAACCAAACAACAAAGCTTGATACAACTTAATCAAACTCTATTTAAAAATGTAAAACTATGCAAACTTTAAAATGGAATGGAGCTTGAACAGCGTGAAAAGAAACGATTATTAGTATTATTAGTTTTATTTGTATCCTACTTTTTCTGTCCTAAAAAAAGGAGACAGACTGAAACATGGCTCAAAGCAAAACCAATACAATACAATTTAAAAACCTAAAAATATACAGATTTTAACATGGAATGGAGTATGAACAGTATTAAAATAAAAATTAGAATTATTAGTTCTATTAGTTTTATTGTTAATAGCCAGCTTTTCCAACTAAGGATGATGGGACATGCAGGCAAACCCACTGGGAAATCTCTAATCCCCCATCTGCCTGGCCACTATTATTATTATTATTAGTAGTAGTAGTAGTAGTATTAGTACTAATAGTATTATTGAAGAAGTCATTAGTACCCTGCTTTTCCAACTAGGGATGATGGGGCATGCAGGCAAACCCACCGGGAAATCTCTAATCCCCCATCTGCCTGGCCACTATTATAATTATTAGTATTATTATTAGTATTATTGAAGAAGTCATCCAATATAGGCAAAGAGCACCAAGTTGCCTGTCTTTGCTGTAAACACTTATTATTAATCATATTATTATTAGTATTATTAGTACCCTGCTTTTCCAACTAGGGATGATGGGGCATGCAGGCAAACACACCGGGAAATCTCTAATCCCCCACCAGCCTGGCCACTATTATTGTATTATTAGTATTATTATTAGTATTAATAGTATTAATAGTATTATAAGCATTATTGAATAAGTCATCCAATATAGGAAGAGGGCACCAAGTCGCCTCTTTGCTGTAAACACATTATTATTATTATTATTATTAGTATTAGTACCCTGCTCTTCCAACTAGGGATGATGGGGCATGCAGGCAAACACACCGGGAAATCTTTAATCCCCCACCAGCTTGGCCACTATTATTATTAGTAATATTATTAGCATTAATAGTATTATTAGTATTATTGAAAAAGTCATCCAATATAGGCAGAGGGCACCAAGTTGCCTGTCTTTGCTGTAAACACTTATTATTATTGATATTATTATTATTAGTACCCTGCTTTTCCAACTAGGGATGATGGGACATGCAGGCAAACACACCGGGAAATGTCTAATCTCCCACCAGCCTGGCCACTATTATTATTAGTAATATTATTAGTATTAATAGTATTATTGAATAAGTCATTCAATATAGGCAGAGGGCACCAAGTTGCCTGTCTTTCCTGTAAACACTTATTATTATTATTAGTAGTAGTAGTAGTAGTAGTACCTTGCTTTTCCAACTAAGGATGATGGGACATGCAGGCAAACACACCGGGAAATCTCTAATCCCCCACCAGCCTGGCCACTATTATTATTAGTAATATTATTAGTATTAACAGTATTATTGAATAATCCATTCAATATAGGCAGAGGGCACCAAGTTGCCTGTCTTTGCTGTAAACACTTATTATTATTATTATTATTATTATTAGTAGTAGTAGTACCTTGCTTTTCCAACTAAGGATGATGGGACATGCAGGCAAACACACCAGGAAATCTCTAATCCCTCACCAGCCTGGCCACTATTATTATTAGTAATATTATTAGTATTAATAGTATTATTAGTATTATTGAAAAAGTCATCCAATATAGGCAGAGGGCACCAAGTTGCCTGTCTTTGCTGTAAACACTTATTATTATTGATATTATTATTATTAGTACCCTGCTTTTCCAACTAGGGATGATGGGACATGCAGGCAAACACACCGGGAAATCTCTAATCTCCCACCAGCCTGGCCACTATTATTATTAGTAATATTATTAGTATTAACAGTATTATTGAATAAGTCATTCAATATAGGGAGAGGGCACCAAGTTGCCTGTCTTTGCTGTAAACACTTATTATTATTATTATTATTATTATTATTATTATTATTATTATTAGTAGTAGTACCTTGCTTTTCCAACTAAGGATGATGGGACATGCAGGCAAACACACCAGGAAATCTCTAATCCCTCACCAGCCTGGCCACTATTATTATTAGTAATATTATTAGTATTAATAGTATTATTAGTATTATTGAAAAAGTCATCCAATATAGGCAGAGGGCACCAAGTTGCCTGTCTTTGCTGTAAACACTTATTATTATTGATATTATTATTATTAGTACCCTGCTTTTCCAACTAGGGATGATGGGACATGCAGGCAAACACACCAGGAAATCTGTAATCCAGCCTGGTCACTATTATTATTATTAGTATTATAAGTATTATTAGTATTACTAGTTTTAGAATTATTGAAGAAGTCATCCAATATAGGCAAAGGGCACTAGGTTGCCTGTCTTTGCTGCAAACATTATTATTATTATTATTATTATTATTATTATTATTAGTTTTATTATTAGTACTCTGTTTTTCCAGACAATTAATTAATTAATTAATTAATTAAAATTATTATTATATTATTATTATTATTATTATTATTGACACAAAAGCACAGTATGTCACAGCAAACAAGATCTATATGCTGGATTTTGTATCACAAAATCACAAGTCGAACACTCCCAAGTGTCTAGGACTGTGTGATGTATTTTCGACTGATGCACGCAGATCCAAGTAAGGTGGCCTTTTGCAGTTGACAGATCATGATTTTGTCAATGTTTATTGTTTCCAAATGCTGGCTGAGATCTTTTGGCACGGCACCCAGTGTGCTGATTACCACTGGGACCACCTGTAGTGGTTTATGTCAGAGCCTTTGCAGTTCAATTTGAGGTTTTGGTAACGGCTGAGTTTTTCGTTTTTTTTCCTCAATGCGACTGTCACCTGGTATGGCGACATCAATAATCCAGACTTTTTTCTTTTCCACAATCGTGAATAGTATTATTATTATTATTATTATTATTATTATTATTATTATTAGTACCCTGCTTTCCAACTAGGGATGATGGGACATGCAGGTAAACACACCAGGAAATCTCTAATCCCTCACCAGCTTGGCCACTATTTTTATTAGTATTAATAGTATTATTAGTATTATTATAAGTCATCCAATATAGGAGAGGAATAGATGGGGCCATTGTTCTTAACATCATCAATTCCTAGAATTGGATGGGACCCCTAAATCACACCCACTCCATTCTGCCAAAAAGACCCCAACCAAGCCCTCCCAACAAATGGCCATCCAGTCTCTGCTTAAACACCTCGAGAGAGAGAAGGTGAGATATAGAGTGGAACATATTGTTGAATACATAGATTCCTCAATTGAAAAGGGACTCCCAAAAGCCATCTAGTCTAATCCCATTCTGCCCAAAAGACACCACCGAAGCCCTCCCGACTGATGGCCGTCCAGCTTCTGCTGAAACGCCTCCAGAGAAGGAGACTCCATCACATATATTCCACTGCTGAGTAGCTCAATAATTTCTTCCTAATGTTGAGGTGGAAACTCTTTTCCTGCCCTTTGACTCCATTGCCCCACTGTGTCCAAGCCTTTGGAGAAGTTGAAGACCAGCGTCACTTTTTGTCCTCTTTCTGCAAATGAGCAAAGACTTTTCAATTCAGGCTGGCTTTTGGTTCGTAACTCCTCTCCCTTGCATCGTTTTTGCTGCATTTGGGTCTCAGTCCTGGGAGAAAAACGGAATCGTAATAAAAATAATAGTAATAATAGTAAAATAATAATAATAATAATAATAATAATAATAATAATAATAATAATAGCTATCTCGAGTCCTTTCAGGGAGATGGGGCGGGGTATAAATAAAGTTGTTTAATAATAATAATAATAATAATAATAATAATAATGTTAAATAGACTTGATTACTTAATGAGTGTATATGTGTGTGTGTGTGTGTGTGTGTGTGTGTGTGTATCTCTATCCATCTGTCCATCCATCCATCTATCTCAAATAACTTTTGGCTCAACTTTCTTTAAGTTTGTTCTAAACCTCCTTGGGTCATATACTGGGAAAAGCTGGGGTCTAGATTCCATAAAAATAAATAAATAAATAAATAAATAAATAAATAAATAAATAAATGCCTTTGTTCACTTGTTTTGCATAGAATGAGATTCACTTTGATGTGAACTCCTGAGGCTCAAAGCCATGGGAGTTGTAGTTTGCCAAGGCCCCGGGCTTCTTGGAAAGAGAAAACTCGAGCCCTTGTCAAACTACAACTTCCAGGATCCCTGAACATTAAGCCGTAGCCCTCTGGGCCGGAGCTGCTGGGATCCCCAGTCCAAAGGATTCTATTCCTTTGAGAAGGCGGCATACAAAGGGCGCTGGGGAGGCTCTCTGAGACAAAACCAACAACAACAACAACAACACTTTAAATAGAAAACAGAGCAACAAAATAGACAACGCTACTTAAAATATGATTCATGGAACCCGCAATGTGTTTTTTTTTCACCTCCCACTCCAAAAGCATGAAAGTGAAATGACAATAATATAGTAAAAGGACCAATGTTTGAGTGTTTATTTATTTTATTTATTTATTTGCATTATTTCTACCCCGCTCATATCACCCTGAAGGCGACTCAGAGCGGCGTACGCAGTCGGCACAATTTGATGCCATACAAATACATACATTGATAAACAGAAAGAACATTATAGTGCATTTAGACATAAAGACAGTGCATAATAACAATTTTAAAAACTAAAAAAACGATATCCTCTCATTCAAATCCTTATCTGTTCCATCGTCTTGGGCCGTAC